AGCACTTTACAAACCTTCATAATGTAATTAAGCCTGTGTGAGCTCCGAAGTATTCTCATTTTACAGATCAGGAAAAAAGACTTCAGTGAAGTAACTTGTTCAAGGTCACACGGTGAGACTGTGGCCAACCAGAAACCAGGACTTGCCATTCCTGACCCTCCAGTCCTGAGCTCTAGCCTCTAACATACACGTTATCCATTCGGTTAATTGTAACCTCTTGTTGGTTGAAAAGCTCAATCTCAAATTTCTTTTTTACGCTATAGGACAACTTTCAAAGTAGGAGTCTAAGCAAGACTTTCAAAATAAGAACGCCATAATTAAACAGTTATCTTCATGCATTAAATAAGTAGTTGCATGCACAGAAACTTGGTTTGCATAAATAACTGCATATTTTGCACATGTAATCACCTTTTTTGTGCTTACAGGATCTGCATATTCTACAGGCACAACTTCGGCACTTGTTATTGAAAATATGGTCCTGTATATTTTACCCTGCAGACTCCTTGCCTATTGATAGCTTTTAGGCCCAAATCCAACACCCATATAAGTTAGTGGAAAGACTCAGATTGATTTCAGTGGGCACTAAATTGAATCTTTAGTTTCCACAATGTGACTGCCTGCCTTCACAAACAAGCTGAAATTAGTATATGTTCTATTCTTAGTGCCAACAAATGACATCTGAATGAATCAATGCAAGATTGAATCTTCGGTCACACCCTTGGTTTTATTGAAAGCATAGAGTTATAACACACAGTCATTATGCTGTAATAGCAGTAGCTGAGACACTATGAGACTTACAATATCTTGCAATAACTCTCATTATAATATTTCATTTAAGAAGTCTCCACACACCAAAATTTTGTGTGCTCTCAATTTATATATTATCAAATCCTAAACATACTTAGTTTAAGACAAAATTCCTGCTGAAGTCAACAGAAATTTTGCCTGAATTAGAAGTTCAGGATTTAGCTCATTTATTTTAAATTCTGAACAAAAACATACTCATATTGATGACACTTTGGCTTGTTGCACCTGTTTTCAAATCGCTTATACTCCATTATTGAACATCCTTTTAAAATGAAGTAGGTATGGGTTATTTTCAGTTGTGTTTCTAGCTCATCAGACAGTATTCACTTTATAATTTATTTGAGAAACAATATACCAGTAAGTTAATTTGATTCTTGTCATTTTTCAAGTCCAGTGCAGTTTAATATAATCCAATTGGACTGAAGGTAGCAAAGAGATCACAGAATATGAGAAATAATGTATATTAAAATGAGTGATGTCTGAGGACCAGAAACACAATGGGATGATACCAGACACCTACTGCTAATTGAAATGGATTCCGGAGGATCTGAAAACAGCTCAGTTAGCCAAAAGCAGTGTAGACATACCCTCAGGGACTCCTTAGATCAACAGAAGTTTGAATCAATTGAAAACATAAAGTACTTTTGATATTGTTGTAGAAGGGACAATGTGTGTGGAAACTTTTAACTTAATGTAAGAGTGTTTTAATCACCTGAATATACTGGCGTTATTGCAAGATTTGGTGTCAAGTCCTGTACATTGTTGTTGTAAATAACACAGAACAAATGTTATTGCTGTCTCTTGATTTTATATTATGTAATTACTCTCTCTACCATACCCTCATTCAGTAAATGAGAGAAAATGTCAGCTAAGGAAAACTCCAAGTTGTGGTTGCTCCTGACCCAAACCTGGGTACAATATTATGTATTTCCCTAATAGGAGTGAAGCTAAGATTAACAGTTAATGTTTGCACAGTGGTTTGAATGTGTAAAGTGGTGCATATAAGTGCAAAATATTATATTAATAATAAGGAAGAACAGTAGAAAAAGTGACAGCGCATCCTTTTTTAACTCCTCTTGTTCCTAGTGAAAAATGAGACACCCACAACTTCAGGCATCACTCTCTAGATTCTAGAAATAGATCCTGAATCACTTACCAACAGATTATCTGCATGTCAAACAAATGCAGCTTTTCTGACTGGCACATTGACACTCCATTATAAATGATATAGGAAGACCATATGAATGCTCCAATCATCCTTCAGCTATTTCTTTAAATTAGTGTAAGAGTGTTCTTGCATGATCTCAGAAGTGGCAGCTGCTTAACAGCTAAACTATGCCTTCCCTGGGCAAAACAAGCAAAATTCAAGTGACCCAGCATCAACAGCGTGTCTACTCAGGTTATCATTCTTGATCTTAAATGCCCTTTCCTTATAAATAGGTTAGTTGACCTGTTCCCTATTTTATTTCTTACAACTCTCAAATGTACTGATGAGGAATCTAGCTCTGTTCCTATGTAAGTGACTACTGTAGGAAGTCATTCCAGCCTTTCTTTCAGTATTGCTACCTTAATTCTACTGCTCATGAACTGTCCATTCTGAAATTCATCTTATTCATATATGACAAGATTAGTTCTGTAAAGGCTACCTACCGATTGTCAATTGAAAATATTCTATCTTCTAACAACCTATTCAATAATTACAGTCTTCCCATATCCAGTTGTCTAAATATTTGAAAATTAGAAATTGCATTCAGAACAAAATCATGTTGGGATTTTCTACAGTACTGCAATATCTACTTCCCTGAAATCATGTAATGACTAAAAATTAAGCTTTCAATATTTCAATTGTTTCTAATACAAAACCCACAATTTACCATAATATGAAAAATCCCATTAATGGGATTACAAATACTGTAATAGATTTTTTAAAAATCACGGTTCTTGGGTATGAAAGAAGGGATTTTGCAGATTAGCTCATATGCACCTATCTCTCTGTTCTTTTTCTCTCTGGTTTTACACACCCTGACCCTGAACACAACACAAAGCTCAGCCACTTTCAGCTAATAAGCAATGTGTCAGGGTCAAGGAGAAATGACTGTGTTTACATTCCACTGAGGTTCTTCTCTAACTCTGGAGTAGGCTTGGAACTTGTATTTCATTGGGGAACTGAGATGGGGATCATAGGAATTTCCATAGTACATAGCAGTCCGCATTCACACTCCAGTCAGTACACCAATTCACACCATGCCTCACATGAGGTGAGAACTGGAATGAAACTCAGCCCTCCCCAGACCACCTCCAGCAGCTTTTTTTCCATGGAACATAGGCTACATCTACAGTTCACACCACTCTTGTGGTGTCTGAGGGTATGTGTAGCTACACACCACAGTGAAAGGCAGGCTATGTCCACACTGCCGTGTGTAGCTGCCTAAAGGGTGATGGTCTCTTGGAAAATTTAGCCTCTGAAGTCCAGATCTTGAACCTCCTTGCATGTGGTCAGACTCTTGAAGCTGGGCCAGTGAAGTCAACCTTGCTCTGTTCAGACAGAACTCTTTGCAGGGTGTGGGCTTGTTTTCCAGGGGAAAAAATGACCCAAGACATGGCTCAGACTTGTATGTGTTTACCTACATTTGCTCACTCATTCATATATCTGATTGACACCATTTTAGAAAAGGTAGATTATCAGGGTCTGCTATTACAATTGCTTTTTGCATAGTCAAAAAGATGAGTCACCGTCAAGGAATATAGGCCAAAATATAGGGTTCGTGTAACTTAAGTCTTACAAAATTTAATATTAACAGAAATATTTTTTAGGTGGTTGGATTTAAAAAAAAAAGAAGCCAATAAAGACAATTTTTTGTTTTTGGTTTTAACATTCCACTACGACATTTGCAACGCAAACATTGCAGCATTGTATTAGCACACAAGAAAAAAATGGAAATTATGTTTTCAAAATCAAGTGGCAAGCAGAATGAAATACAAAAAGTAAGCAAATAGGAAAGATGATGATTAGATTTTAAAAATGTGGGTTTTTTTTTATAACTTAGGAGCTGATCCTGCATAGTGCAGGAAAGAGAATGGAAGGGTTTTTTGGGCCACAGTTGTTGAAAAGACATAGCTGTTAGTTCACATCTTGTTCGGGTATCTGTGTTATGGTACATAGACAGCCAACCTACCTTGTACAGACTACAGGTTTGTGTATTAAGGGGATGAAGGGACAGGGTGTGGAAGTGGCCATTGGCAGGCCTCCTTACCCTTATCCTCACCCTCAATCCTGACCATCAGATCTGGGGCAGGGATAAGTAGATACATACCTCACGTAGTGATGATAATATGAAGTAGGGCTGTTACTCACTAACAGATGTCTCTTCCCCAGGTTTTAGCCGTTGCAGGATTTTAAAATATCCTCAGCCACCCAAGCAAGCAATATAAATATAATTAAAAATATATGTGAGTAACTGGAGTATCTTAAATAATTGAATTATAGTAAGAGTTTGTATTTTTATTGGTGTGGAATTATGGGGTTTATGAGTAATGCAAACATTAGATTTGGGGAGGAGAGATGTCCCACTTCCTAATTTTTATATAAATGTACTGACAGGTAACCTTAGTCACCTGGCTGTGCAATCAGTCTTTAATTATCCCCTTCAGCAGTCATCGTAATCCTCCTTTCACTTCACTGTGGTGGGAACTGGGCATTAGATCAATGAGAGTGGATTGTATCATTCTCACCTACGTTTTATTTTGGTGGTGGCCCTTTTCCTGATCCATTCCCTGTTTCCTGTTTACCGTTAGCTCTGTCAGAACACTGGGCCTCAAGACAAGACTAGAGACTGTAATCCTTTTCTGAAGCTGGCTCCTACTCAATCAATCTAGGGAGAAGCCAGTCCTTCGAAGATATCCACAAGCATGGACCCTTTCTCCCCTGGAGACTCCTGTTGACTTCAGTGGGACTCGTGTGGGCATAAGGGCCTATGCTTGCAGATTTCTTTACTAGATTGAGACACTATTCTGTAGCTTCCATCTGGGAGACTGAGGGCATCGTCTACATATGCTTTGTCATTATAGTAATCACCGATATTTATTTTCCCATCTTCACTTTTTTTAAAAACATTTGAAATGCTGTTTTATTGAATCTGATTTGGCAAATGTCCCATGCAGTAAATATTTAACTCCATGCTGTCTTCCAATAGAAAAAAGAAAAAGCATCTGTCATTAAGAAAAACAATGCCTATGCAGTGGCTGTTGCCAATTATGCTCCAAATATTACCAAGGACTCAGTGCTACCAACAATCTCCAAGAGTGCTACAACCACAGAACCCAACAAGGCAAAGCCAGAAGCCAAGCCGCAAGAAGCAAAGAAAACATTCAACAGTGTTAGCAAAATTGACAGAATGTCTAGAATAGTGTTTCCAGTCTTATTTGGTACTTTTAACTTAGTGTACTGGGCTACATATTTAAACAGGGAACCTGTCTTACTTGGGTTTGCTCCCTCAACCTAAAAGCTGAATTACACTGGGAATGTATAGCATCATTATATCAGTTAGGTTGTTTTGCTATGTACAGTACGACTAATAACTGCTAATCTGTGAACCAATATGTACAGAATGTATATAGATATCTTATCCGTGTATCTCCAAAGGAGACACACAGTGTTTATTCATGGATCTGTAAACAGATAACACCCACGGCTAATATAGCCAACTCTTTAGAAGTTCTACCCAGGGGATTTCCTTTAAACTGGGATTCAAATGCACAGAATTATATCTTCTCCATACAATTAGAGGACAATATGGTCCTGCATAACTATTTAGGAACAGTATTTTCTTAATTTAAAGTTAAACTATTTTTCTATAAAATAACTGATTCTACTTTAATGGGATAAGCTGTCATTAAAAATGATTTTTTTTAAAAAAACTTATTTCATACAATGGTAGTGCCCATGTACATATTATAGAGTGATGAGCTCAAACTATTCTGTTGTTCACAGCCATTTTGGAAAGTAGTTATGTTTAAAACTTAGTAAAGACTATTGGAATGCCAAAGCCATTAGTTCCTTACTTCAAGACCTGCTTTGAACTTGTTAATGAAGTATTCCAACTCATTTAAGTGAGCAGTGGTGAGCATCAATCAACTTCCACTAGAAAAACTTTTTTTTTCTCCTCAGTGTTTGTTTCTCTGAGGTTGCTGAACCAAGTTCTCCTTTTCAGCAAGGTCAGAAAAGGTTTTTTGTTTTGTTTTTAAATTAGATTGACATCAGGCTCATAAATATTGGTAATTGACACTCAGAAATTTTTCAGGGTCAAGTATATCAGAAATATAAAATGCTCTTTTTCCTGCTTCGTATTTACAGGAAAATCTGCCTTAAAAAGGCTTCCTCACATCTGCCCATAGAAGCCACTGTTTTCAAAGGAAACTGCAGTTTGGGATTGCAATCCAGGAAGTTGTCCTCATGGATAAGATTTATTGCTGCTTTTGTAAATTGCAACTTTACATTTCACTGACATCACTTAACAACTTTGTATACTAGAAAGGGTTTTGCTAAGATTTGAGTGTTATTTTTAATAAACTTCAGTGCATCATCAGTAATTGTCAATTATTTCATACACAAAATATAACAAAATTGGAGCTGCCATTTGCAATTTTATATGAATATTTAATGTTAGTAAAATTAATTTTCATCTGAACCTTTGCAAATATTCCTTATGCCCTGAAAGGCCTGGTAAATCATGGCATAACTAATAACTGTGCACTGTATTTAGATTTTAATATACTTGGCCAATCAAAAATATTTTGATTCACATATACATTAGCAGTTATTAGTTGGCCTTTTAAAATAGATACACCTTTATGATGGTGTGTTTACAGTAGAAACATATGTCATCGTATAGTGTCATTTATTGCAGTTTTGTACAGTACTTGAGTATAGTGCATAAAATAGGTATGTTCAAAGTTTGACAAACTTGTACAAATATTTCTAAAATGAATAAATGAATTATCTTAAGACGTGGAAACTAGCAAAAACAAAGAAGAAGAATCTAACATTGCTTTTTTTGCTGTTTAATTTTTCTTGTCTTTTTCTTTGTTTTTAATGTGATTCTATTTTGTGCTTTGCATGACAGTATAGATGCCAAGGTCACAAATGCATTTTATTAGTAGACTTTACAATGAAGACAGACTTGACTTTAGTCAAGCAAGATATTCCATACAACATCAGTAAAATAGAAGGGAGAACCACTGGTGAAATGTGTATTCCCTTCATCCCCTCTAATAAAACCATCTTTATTCATCAACGGTAGTTGAAAAACAAGCACTTTACTCAAAACATTAAAATAGAAATATCCTTATTTTCATATATATATTTATATATAAATGTAGATCTTCCATGTAATACAGAGATGTGTGCAATAGGGTGATAAAGTGTAAAAGGGTTGAAGGCAAGCAATAAAAAGTTTTTTCATGGTATAATTATACATTTTAAAAATGTTTTATTTGTAAATTATAAAAGATCCCTTTAATGTCATAGTGTCCAGGTATAACATATATACATATGTACATATGTAGAATATTTGTAAATATTGGTCCAGTAGAAAAATCCTTTCATGTTTCTGTCTGTTTCTGGTAAAGATCTGTGACTGTGTAGTATAGTGGAGGCCCAGGCTTATCTGCTCTCAGATAGCAGGTTGATTGCTGTTTTCATGTACCTTTGGGCACCATCCTGCAATCTGATGGGGGCTCTCAACTCCCATTAACCTCAACAGGAGTTGAGGACTCTCAGCACCTCACAGGTTTGGGCTTATAAAAAGTAAGGTCTGTATTTACCCCAGTTACATCCCAGATAGCTCAGCAACGTTAGGTTTGCTGTCTCAAATAATGGGAAGTCAGAACTCTGCCCTCTAGACATGAGCGGTGCTTAATTTGTGCCAGGGCTGAGCCCCAGCACCTCTAGGCTTGGCATTTCATAGCCCCAGCACCTCTGCGCTTGCTGTATCAGTCATGAATGTAAAAAAAAAAAAAATGGCTTGAGCACTGGCACCTCTTTCATTGCAAATTAAGCAGTGTATGTGAGTGTGTCCAGAGGTCCATTTGATTGTGTGACGGGAGAGGGCTGTATAGTTTTTTTTTACAGCTACACACACAAAGGTATCTGACTTACAGAATCAAGCAAGTCCTGTCTTCGCTTGAGAAAAATAACGTGTTTAATTTATAGCTGCACCGGGACTGCGGTAAATTGTGCGCCCTCAACTTCACAGAAGGGCTGCTCCTGTTCCCACCTAAATCAATGGGAGTTTTGGGAGCAGAGTCAAAAATAATGCCTTAGGAGCAACTATTTAATTCACTGAACAGTCCCTCTAGACTTGTGCAACACCTAGAGTAAATTGCATAACCACCAGACCTTTATCGCATACTTACGACGTAGAGAAACAAACACCATGTCAATGCAATCTATGTGCATAAATATGCTTTCAGAGAGCTACATGCAGTCAGTGGGATTTGCAAGGGCATATCAAAGCAGTTTCAGCTTGAAGCCTTGTACGGTTGGTCTAAATTTAATGTTGGCTTCTTTTGTTTATTGCATTTTAAGCAATTTCTATCAGTTGTCCTTATGATTCCAATGTTAAATCATTTATGATGATGAAAATGACTAAAAATAAAACTGGAGTGTTCTTAAGAGTGACAACTGTATAGCTGAATGCAAAGATTTATGTGAACACAAGTACCCGAACATGAATTTTGAAATGCCAGCCTTAGGGGTTTTTTTTAATTCATTTTAGTCTGTGGCTAAGATTTTTCAAACCTTAAAAGTTAGGCTCCTAAATTCATATTTAGGCACCTTCATAGATGCTGAGCACTTGGCATACATCTACAACATGGGGAAAAAACACATGGCTGGCCTAGGTCAGCTGACAGTTGCGGTGTAGATGTTGGGCTAGAGCCTGAGATCTGGGACCCTCCACTCTCCCAGAGCCCCAGAGCTCGGATGCCAGCCCAAGCCCAGATGTCGGCACAGCAAATTTTAGCCCCACAGGCGAAGCCTTGTGAGCCCGAGTCAGCTGACTCAAGTGAGCTGCGGCTGTGCTGCGGGTCTTTTATCCCTGTGTAGACGTAGCCTTGGAAGCCTGATCAATTTCAATATGATTTGTGGATGTTAAGCACTTCCAAAAATCAGCCCACTTTTATTTAAGAGATTTATTTATAGATGTAGGAACCTAAATTTGAATGTTTGGCCTAACTTCTGTCCCTTTCTAGTTTATTCCCACCCCCTCTGCCCTCCCAGGCCATCCTCCCAAGCCTTCTGGTATTGCATTTCTTACGTGACCCCACAAATAAATACACTAATAATTTAAAACTATAAAAAAATAAATAAAATGGCCTAACACTGTGGTGACTTGCACTGGGCTCAACATGGTTCCAAGCTAGGGTTAAAGAATAGCTTTTCGATGTAGGGACTGCAACATTTACTCCTTGATGCATAAGGCTAGAGAATAGTACCCAAATATTAATAGTAATTTGGAATTGGGGGTGAGAAAATATAGAGAGCCCAGGGTTTATCAGTCTTGGCACCCTCTGTGGTAGTCTCCTGTCTTAGTGTGTCGGTTGTAATGCACTGGCTTCCAAACATTTTTGTTGATATTTTTAAACAGACAAAGTAACTTCACCTTTCATTTATATTTAATACAGCTGCGAACTCCTGTGCTATTGTGATGTTTTATTTATGTCCTCATGTTCTCCCAGCTCTTTAGTGCAAATTTTTGGCCTTATTCAAAATGGCCACCATGTCCTATTATTTCAATTGGTGTGACGTTACATGGGCCCAGATATTCACAGGTATTTAGTCTCCTAACTTCCATTGATTTCAATGGAAGTTAAGAGTCTAAATATCTTTGAGGATCTGAGCCATGATGCTCTCAGGGAAAATGTCTGCCAGGAAGGCTCTGTTGTAGTTTGGAAACTAGAGGAGAAACTACATGCAGTTGGGGGAGGTAAGCAGAATTCTGAAGGGAGTGCAAGAGAAGAAGGAGAAGGCTGAGGGAGAATGTGAAGAGAAGGGGACTGAAGGGGAACAGAGGCAGGATATGGGCTCAGGAGACTGTGGGTACTTGAAGTGAGAATGTGAAAGGGACAGCAGAGTGGTTGAGACGTGTGGGGAGCAATTGTGAAGAAATGGGGCAGCGAGGGATAGCATAGCAACTCCACTTCTCCAGAGGAGACGGTAAGTGGAATCCCTTTCTAAAGAGCCCTTGGGAAAGCTTACGTACCTTTGTGTGTGCATTTGAGGTTGGATTTTGAACTTGCAGTTATCACACACCAATTGTGGGCAGACAGCTTTGCACTAAAGGGTAAAAGGCAGATCAGACCCCAATGGATTTTTGTAATCATGATTTTTTGGTGATCTGACTCATAATCTTGAATCCTCTGGATTGGCAATGCCACTAACCACTTCATAAATATAATGTGCTTAATTTTGTGCTCTTCCATCTCTCTGCAACTCCTGAAAAGAAAACAGATATGTCAGGAATAAAGTAAATCCTGTTAGTTCCCAATACATTTTCCTCAGGTTGTATGTAATGCCTTATTTTGAGGGCCTAAGTGGAGCCTCAGAGGTGCATTGGCCCTCTGCACAATCACAAATACCATTATTTGCACTTTTTAAGAAATCTGCACTCCTAACTTAAGTGTTTATGTGAAAAATAAGTCCATATCTGGATATGAAATTATGATCAGTCCCAATCCCACTTTGAGTTAATACATGGCCCATACTGCCAAAGTTCAGATCAGCAGAACAGAGCCATGAAACAGAGCAAAAAAAGATGATAAAGTGAGTGTTATCAGCAGAACCAGGAAAATTATTTAATTCTTCTTTCAAAAACAGCAAGTAGAAGGATAAGTGTGCAAACATAGGAACAAGTCTAAATAGAGTTCACTGATCAGGGCTTTATCATTTGATATCACAGAAATAAGGAATTCTAAATTTTGATTAAAGATAAGTCTTTTGCAAAACCTAGAATCATTAATCAAATTATGTTTACCTGAAAAACTATTACTAGTTAGGGTTCCAAATAAGGGAACCCATTAATTTTAAAATATCAAACATTTTTCCTCAGAAACTGTATAATGTGTCTTCCATTGGATAACTAATTCTCAACATAATTTTATGCTTTAAAATACTTTGTTATGCTAATTGTATTATATATGGCGGGAGACTTTTTTCTCGTTATTGTAAATAAATCCAAATCCCTAACAATTGGAAAATATGGTTTTATTATCCTGAATTTAGATTTCTAAATTACAGCTTCATAAGGATTTTCAGGAATCCATGAGTGAGCTGATAGATTCCCCTTTCACAAATAGGGGTGCAAAAGGCAAACACTTTGAGACTTAATTTTGGGAATGGCCATGCTAATTGCATTGATAGCTTGTTTTGCTCTGCTTCTATTGTTTAAGTATTTATCTTTCACTTTATTTTCAACTAAACCCCCTTTATTTTTAAACTTAGTTCATGCTTCTGTGATCAGAGCCACTTGGTGGATCCTTGTGCCCATGTGGTTCTCAATGCAGGATTGGGGCCTTACTTGAGAACTATTCACTTTGAGGGCCTGATCTTGCTCCCACTGAGATCAGTGTCTAAACTCCCATTGATCTTAGAGGACTTTGATTAGATTTTAAGGACCTGTCCATGCACTACAAAAGTCAATGGAAGTCTTTCCATTGACTAATGGAAGTCTGATCCAGCCCTCCCTGAGAATTCCTCGATTATTTACCTTTTCACACTGAGAAGATGAACTTTTAAATAAAGGAAGCAAATATATTTAAAATTGGGCTTTGATCATGCCTGTTTTACTCCCAGTAATGTATTAATGTTGGTTTAGGAATATTGTGAAAATACTGTGGATTACAAGTGGGGAACAACACTTGTGAAAAATAATTTGAAATGTGTTTTAAAATATGCAAGATGGTTCATACCCTTCTCTTAGTGCTGGTGTCTACATACACACTCTCACAAATATTTTTATTCTGTAACTTGATGATTAATTATTTAAATTAAGCTGTACTTTGAAATGTTAATTGCTTATTTTACATAACTTTGTGAATTCTTCACTCTGTCAGCTGGCCTGGGGCTCATGTATATGCATTAAAGGTGCTCAAAGATTTCACTAACTGATTTTGTAAACTGTTAAAGGAAGTAAGCTTCAAGGGTCATCTTTGTTTTCCATCTTATGGTTTTAGGCTTTTGGGGATGGATTCAAATACAGAATGGGACAAGATATTGCTTTGATCCGGTGGTTTTGAATTTAGATGTTCATGTTGGCTGTATTAATCAGTTAACAGGCTACTGTAGATTAGCTTTAGAACAGAATGCAACTTAGTACTTTACAGCTATATATTAGAATACAGATGTACAGTTCACACAGTATAAATTATTGAATAAATAATATCCAGCTGCTAAACAAAAAACTTCCACACATAGTCACTTTACTCAGAATTGTTTGAGGGCACTTTACATTTACTTATCGAAAGTGATCACACTAAATATTAATGCACGTGCATTTACAAATTCAAGTTTGATTCAGAGAGAAATCATTGGTAGTAATTTCTCAACTAACCAGGAATCAGAACATACCTAAACACTTGATGGTAAGTGTATTTCAGTGTGTCACCAGGGCTTGAAAATGTATAGGAGCTTGAAAAAAGCTGCTTAGTATACATTGCTAAGTAACAGGAAATAATAAGAATGGAGTTGATGCATATAAAAAAAATAGTCACAATTTTATATATAAAGCACATGCACAATAAAGAAACTGCATGTTAAATGTAAGTATACTTAACCTTGAACATCAACATCCTATAAAAACTTCTGGGTGACAGTTCACTTAGCTAGTAGGTTTCATAGTTATAAATAAGTAAAGGGGATGATAATATTCTGTAATTTGTGACCTTGTTTTAACTGGACAGAGTTGTTACTTTTTTAAAAGTCTAAAAGAAATAACTTGACTTATGTTTGAATGTGTCACTTTGCTTGCTGTTAAAGAATATTTATTAACCACATACAAAATATTGCTTAACATTATCTTTTTGTACTTATTAAAAGTTAATTTAAATATACCACATTTTGTTTTGGTTGTTTTTAATTGAACAGCATAACTGTTTGACACTGCTCAAGACTTTTCTCTACAAGTGAAAGAATTTTAGCCTCTGCAAGGGTGTTTTTAGTTATAGATGGAGTTCATAGCAAAAAAATAATATTTTGGAAGAAAAACATTCTTTGGGGTTTTCTGATGTTATTTGCTATTTCATTATGGAATTTTTTTTTTCATTTCAAACATTAAGCTGGTTGTTGTACGCCAACACATTGACTCAAAGCTTTCATTAATGAGGGTATATTAAAATTAGTAAGACACTAATGGGAGCGGGGTTCCTAACTTTTTAGCACTCGCAGTCTTAAAATCACCAACAAACCCATATTGCAGAATATTTTGCAGCTTCTGGTTTATTCTCAATCTAATTCACTATTTCAGAACAGACAAAACAGCAAAACATCAATGCAACAACTGGACCAAAGCTTAGATTCTATAACAATCTAATACTATATTTATCATCTCTTAATTTGTTGCATCATATCAGATTATATAGAAAGTCAGATTATATATATACAGATTATATTACACAGTAGTTCAGCACATTATGGATGTAACGCTATAAGAAATTGCATTTATATCACATTTATTTATATTAGTTGTTAATATTATTTAACATTTGTATATATAGTCACATAGTTGTGCATGATACTTTACATAGAAATAATAAGATGCAGTCTGCCCTGAGGAGCTTTTACTGGAAGGACATTAGCTTGCAAATCCATATGTGAATAAATAGTCCTGTGATTTTTAGGACTGGATCCTGCGCTGAGTATTGCAAGATAGGATGCAGAAGGAGTTGACACATATCCCAACTAAGAAAGGTTTGCAGCTGGAATCTCATCACTGAAAACCAAAAAAATCCTACACTCGTTCAGTTAGAAGCATGGGCAGGGGATAAATGAGGGGGGCAGGTGACAAAGATAAACAGGCAGCCTTGGGGCACCAGCTGTATCACTTTGCTAGTTGGTGCAGGTGAGTGACATCATGAAAAAGACCCAATGGGAATGAGGCTTTGAACAATCAGTGTCCCCAGCCATGCTAGGATTCAAAAGGTTTTGCCAATGTTCTCATTATCCACATACATGGATAATGAGAACATTGGCATTTATATTATATGTCTTTTTTTTTTAATATAAGGGAAGAAAGCTCTCAATAATCAGTTTATTCCATAAATTGATGTGGGGGAAGTGTGGACTTAATGAACCTTCTTCAGAAGCATTTTGGCTACTGGCAGAGACTGGATACCAGATGACATGGCCCACTATAATGATCTAGTGTGGTAATTCCTGTGTACTCTGCTGCCCTCTATCTGCCCACGTCCATTCTTGTCTCACCATTACTGTAACCAGAGGCAGGAAGTAAAATTATCAGAACCTTTAATCCTGTTTGTTATTTGGACCAGGAAGCTTTTCGTGTCTCCAGATCACATTCAGCAATGCAGGAAGAGCAGAGGACAAAAAAAGTAAGTACAGTATTTTGAGCTTAAAGGATCTCAGTGGGATAGACCAGGGGTCGGCAACCTTTCAGAAGTGGTGTGCCGAGTCTTCATTTATTCACGCTAATTTAAGGTTTCACGTGCCAATAATACATTTTAACATTTTTAGAAGATCTCTCTCTATAAGTCTATATTCTGTAACTAAACTATTGTTGTATGTAAAGTAAATAGGGTTTTAAAAAGGTTTAAAAAGCTTCATTTAAAATTAAATTTAAAATGCAGAGCCCCCTGGACCAGTGCCAAGGACGTGGGCATTGTGAGTGCCACTGAAAATCAACTCGCGTGCCGCAGGTTGCCTACCCCTGGGATAGACCTTAAATATTTCAGAAATGGTCACCCCACATCTGCAACTGCAACCTATCAAGGCAAGTAGTGCTGCTTCTTCAAGTAGTGTTCCTATGGGTGCTCTACTGTAGGAGTGTGGCTATGTCCCTGCACTGCCGATCAGAGAACTTCAGTGGCAGTGTCCATTAGGTCCGCGCAGGCGTGGTGTCTCTTTGTGTTGCGCCATGAGGTTAGTCAGTGTGTGCAGGCTAATCCCCTCAGTTCCTTCTCAATCACCCCTGGCTAAAGACAGAAATATTCGCAGTCCGCTAGGACCATTACTTTGGATTTGCATTTCTAAAGTTAGCCTCCTACTTCTTAGTTGTAGTTCTAGCTGTAGCTTTTTCTGTTTCCTTATTTTTTCCCCTTTAAAAAAAATGAAGAAAGGACTAGTTTCTTTTTTTTCCTGCTTCTTTTCCTCATTGGGGACCCTTCTCCCAATGGGGAATGCTGGCTCACTGGGGTTCAAGAAATGCCTCTCTCGCAAAGAGGCAATCCCTGTCAAAGACAAGCACTCCCAGTGCATTTTCTGCCTTGGGTTCGGCCACTTTCAACAAAAGTGTGGCCTTTGCCAGCAACTCAGACCCTGGTCTCATAAGGATAGAGAGCTAACACAGAAGATTATCTTCATGGAGGCAGCTCTCTGACTCTCTCCGGACATGCACCATCAGTTAACTGGCAGATGTCAGTCTTCCCTGCAGCTTCAACACCTAAAGGCTGTCAGGTGAAAAAACAAGCTGCTGACCCCTCTCATAAATCATTGAAAAAGAATGTGAAGTCTTCACAGTGAGCACTGAGATAGCCGCAAATGTTCTCCAGCACAGTCAGTATCCTTGGTAGCTCTGGCACTGAGACCTTCTCAATCCCGTATCTATGGCTCACAGAAATCCTCAGCGGCAGGTACCGTTGACAAGCCCATGGCCCCAAAGGGTATGGGCACAGAGTCAATGACACCAAGGGACAAGGACAGGAGAAAGCACTCCTCTAAGAAGGCATTACCGGAACGTGATTTTACATCAGTACCATCATCGACACCTCATTTGGCACCAAAGTGACTAGTAGAGACAATATTTTCATCTCCCCCCAGTACTGCCAGTGGCATCGAGTCAGTCAGCACTGCCAGAATTCCGACGCTCTAACGACCTCCATGTATCAGACTTACTGGAGTCTCCTCTTCTTGGTGCTGGAACCTCCATACCAAGTCTTTGATTGGCACAGGCATCTCCCCTGCTGCCCTGTCATGCTCCCCCTCTTTAGTGAAGATTCAGATAGTGAACCTGAGGAGGTAGCATCACAGTACTCCTCCCAGGCTCCTTATGGTGCCCAGTATCAACAGGGTCCTTGAGCATACCCTCAGATAGCCCCATCACCACCATCTTGCTATGGTCACCCATGGGCACTACCACCTCCCCAGTGGCCATACTGAGACCTATGGACTACATATTGGCACCATACCTCTCAAGATTCTAGCCCCACCCAAGAACCCTCAAGGCACACCCCTTTGGCCACGGCTTCCAGAGCTTCAGAACCTCTGGAAGAAATTGTGGAGGAACATGAGGGTGCAGTTGAGGAAGCAGTGACCCCGAGGACTATATTCTTCTCTTCCCCAGATGAGGCCATCATGCCTCCTCCACCATCCCTGGTGGATGACATTTGCCTTTTCCAGGACCTGGCAAAGAGAATAGCAGACACTCTCCAAATATCACTGAAGGAAGTCAAGGACACCCACCATCATCTCCTTGACATATTCCACTCATCCTCTTTCTCAAAGATCCCCCTACCCATTAACGAGGCCATTCTGGACCTGACAGATCCCAGTGTCAGTGGCACCTACCTGCAAGCGGCAGACAAAAATATTATGTCCCAGCAAGGCAGTCTGAATTCCTTTTCTCCCACCCTCCACCCAACTCCATCGTGGTGGAAACTATTAACTCCCATGGCCGTCCACACCAGATGAGGTCCACTCCCTATGACAGGGAAGCATTTGGACCTTTTTGGGAGGAAGGCCACACTTCAGTTTCAAATTACCACTTACCAAACCCTCACAGTGAAATATGATTACATAAATTATTCAAAATGGAATGATTTTATTGAACAACTGCCCAAGTCGCATAGTGACCAATTAATGCCATCATTCAGGAGGCACATGTAACCTTTTATTTTATTTAAAATGAATTTGGCAATGTGGTATTACACCTCCATGGGTTCGGCTCTGGCGGCTACAGTTTCAAGCTTAACAGAGTGAAAGTCACCTCTGCTACTTGCTTCAGATTTAGAGTTTCTAGGAACACATAAAGACCAAGGGTAGTGACCACACATACATTCACAAGTACAAGGTCTATCTGTTTTACAAGTTTTATTAAAGTTACTATTAAAGTTATGATTACCCAAGCATATAGCAATTCTATACAGCCCTCCAGAAGGGATACTGCTTGGGAGTCACCTACAGTGGAGCACCCACAGGGACACTACTAGAAGAAGCAGTTACTCACCTTGTGCAGGAATGATGGTTCTTGGAGATGTGTGTCCCTATGGGTGCTCCACAACCCATCATCTGCCCCTTTACTTTGGAGTTCCTGTCAATGACTCCGTGGTACAGAAGGAACAGAGGGGGGTTAGCCCATGTGCACTGACTAGCCTCATGGTGCAGCACAAGGAGAGAGAGGCACATGTAGGCCTAACAGACCGTGCTACCGAAGTTCTCTGATGAGCAGCACAGGGACGCAAACACACCTAGAGTGGCGCATCCATAGGGGGACACATCTTGAAGAACCATCGCTACTGCACAAGGTGAGTGACTTCTCCTCCTCTTCCAAGGGACTTTGCCCAAGGTGAAACCCACAAATGCAGGGAACTGGACTTTCTCAGTACTTGGACCAGAGCTATGGAACCTTCTTCTCCAATATATTAGCATGACCACAGATTACACTACCTTCAAAAGAATATATAAGAGCCATTTGTAAACACCCTGCTCTGAACAGAATATATACATGCTGTATGTAGTCCAAACTTATTCCCTGAGGTTTGACTTTACAGGTAACTTACATAATATAATACCTAAACATAAACTCAACTTCAAGTTTGGCTGTTTGAGTTTTCTCTGTGACACCTCCTCTGCCCCAGTCCCTTGTTTCCTGAGCCTCAAA